TAGCATGAAGTTCATCACCATTGGAGGGGGAGACAACGGACACCATGACTAAGACTGAGCGCAGAAACGTCGTGCCGATCTTGGTCAACGTCGACCTTGGTCAGCGTCACTTCGTGGATCACCCTCGCGGATCGGCGACGGCAGATATTGACCATGACCAAGATCGGCATCGAGAAGATCCCGCGACATCTTGGTCATGGTCCCCATGTGCCTTCCCTCGAACCACGTGACCGTGTTTTCTCTTTCACGGGCGTTGCCCAGGGGAGGGGGGGGGTCTGGAGGGAGAAAAACCAACAAACAAACAAACAAAAAAACTGCGGCCGCGGCGTGCACCCGCTAGAGTGCGTCCACACATCAATCGCCTGTGTGCACCGCAGCATGCAGGGTAGACCCAGGCCACCCCCGCCAGTACGAAGGTTAGCGTTCCCCGGGGGGGGGGCGGGGGGGCCCGGGTAACGAGCGTCACCCTGGAGAGAAAAAACGCTCACGTGGCCCCCGCGTGCTTAATGGGCAGTGGAAACGGCAAGGCAGTTTTGTACCGGTTCCGTTTTGCCGTTTTGTCTGCCAATTCCGACTTCGTTTTTTTTGTTACCGGCTCCGTCGCCGTTGTTTCACCGGTTCCGGCTCCAGTTCCAATCCTGGAACCGTTTCTCTGCCGCTTCTGGTCGCCGTTGCTGTGCCGCTGCCCTTTTCAGGAGACGTTCCTTCGGACACGGTGCAAACACGGCCCTGCCGCTTCCGGGGCCCACTGAGCCCGTGTGTCTTCCATCGACTACCAGCCTCAAACGTATCCCTATCCCTAAGATGGGCGAGCAAAAAGCGAGGACAACCTTAGGGATAGGCCCTCAAAAACTGAGGGAGTCCTTGAGATCGGCATCGAGATGAGGTGATGTCAAACACAGGGATAGGGATCTGCTTCAAACCGGTAAATCAAGCCATGGCCCCCCCCCTCCAGTGCTCCGCGTCGAGGTAGCTGACCGTGTAGAGCTCGAAGACCTCGCCGGGCGCGCCGGCCGCGGCGCCCCCGCTCTGGGGGCCGCCCTCGGGAGGGCTGAAGAGGATCGAGGAGGAGGAGGATCGAGGAGGAGGAGGAGGAGGAGGAGGAGGAGGGAGGAGGAGGAGGGAGGTGCGCGACTCCAGAAGGAGGAGGAGAAGAGGGAGGCCCACAGCAACTATCCCTCCTCGATGGCACTCGTGGCTGCGAGCCGGCTGGCCCGCTCCGCGGTCAGCCACTGCGCCTCGCGGCCAAGCTCCTCAGCCTGGCCGCGCGTGCGAAACCCGAATGCCAGTAAGGCATCGCACAATGCCACTCTTGGGCACGGCGCGCCCCACCGAACAGGAGGGCCTAGGGGAGGCTCGGCGGTGCGGGCCACAGGGCCCCCTGCGGCGCCTTCCAAACCGAAATGGCTGGCCCAGGACGCCCGCACTGCCTCCGACGGGCTGCATGCCTCGTCGATGGCCGCATCCCACGCCCAGTGGGGGTGCATCCCACGGCCGACGCGGCTGCATGCATTCTTTGCTCTCGGGGGTGGCTCACCGTCCCTGGGCGGACAGGGCGCTAAGAGCCCATGGCCCCGACCAGGGCACGTGGCGTGACTCCAACAAGTCGTGCAAACTAGCATTGCTGAGGACGCGCCCCAGGCCCCCCCTCTGGGCATCGCCACTCGCGAATCTGGGCAGCAAGGAGGCTGTGCCCACGCACGCGCCAGGGATTAACCTGAGGCGGAGCGTCAGCGTGCGCCTCGGGATCCGAACCCAGACGAGCGGCCGCGCCTGCTATCGCCGCCGGGGCCGAGCCAGCGCCTGCAGCATCAGCGCGCGATTCTCCTCGCGCCCCCCCAATCGCCCTCAGACCCTGACCACCCCTCCACCTCGAGCTCAACAGTGCGGAGGGCCTCGAGGCCTTGATGGTCGCGAGCGCCGGCTTCAGTCAGCACGGCCCCCATGCGCCCCGTGCATCGGGTGAGGAGCCGCGCAAGATGGAGGCAACCAAAAAGGAAAGCGCGCTCATCTTCGGCCAGCCGGCCTTCGGCCGCCCCAGCCTTTGCTAGGGCGTCGGCCGCGTGATTCCCGTCGCGCTGCCAAGCCGCGATTCGCCCCTCCACGACGTCGTTCCTCGTCGCGTGCGCGAGGCCCTTAGCAAAGGTCACGTCCTCGAGTGCATCGCCAGCAGCCGCCTGGCGCCACAGGTGGGCGCGGGGCTGGCCTGGCCCGCTGGCGCTCGCCAGGTTTTACCCGCATGCGACAGCGGCACTACAGCCCGAATGCAGCGTGTAGCGGCCGGCGGCGTGCCTTGACGCCATCAGGACAGCATGATCCCCCCCGTCCCTGGCGGACTGGGACGGGCAAAGATTTCGGGGCGCCACCCCGCGCAGAGAGCCCAAACAACAAAAATCGGCGTCGTAGGCAACCACGGCCCAACCAGCCACCCTCAAGGCGGGGAATTCAGCGTCGAAGCAAGCCCCATCAGTGAAAATGTGCCCGCCGTCGAGCATGAGTCCGGTCAGCGGCCAGCGGTCCGCCCGGAGCTCGGCGCCAGGCGGCAGCGGCGGCCGCCGAAAACAAAAGGCAGGATCAGGCAGGAGCACTCGTGCAAAACGTTCCCCAGCCTCCTCCCCGCCCTCCAGCACTCGAGCGGCGGCATCGCGCACCGCTGGGTCAAGATTGTCCGCCCTCCAGGCGTGGTGCGCTGGGCACTGGAAAAATCTATGATGCAAGGTGCCGGGAGAGCCGCGGCAGCACTGGCAAAGGTCGGAAAGCCCCAGCCCCTCCCCCTCCCGGCAGAGGCGGGCCCGGCACCAATGCGTGCCGCAAAGCAGGCCTCGTAGAGCCCGCTTGTGGTGGAGGCTCCAGCCTCGCTCAGCGGGGGCGCGCAGCAGCTCGTTGAGCCAGAAGACGGGCGCAACCCAGCTGTGGCGGCCAGGCCTGATCAAGCGGCCCATGGCGTGAATGTCGGAGGATTGCCGGGCCGCTTCCTGCGCCTTGAGACGGAAGAAGGCCGGCGAAAACTCCTGGAGGTCCCAGCGGTCGCCCTTCTCGCCCCTCAGCGTGAACGGGTCGTCCAAGCTCCAGCCGACGCGCTGCGGGGTCAGCACCGGCGCCGCGATCGGGCTGCTGCAGCGCGCCCAAGGGAGACGCTGCGCGGCCAGGTGCCGAGCGCCATCCAATAGCACCTGCAACAGGGACCGCTGGAAAACGCCGTTCCAAACCATTTCGGCGTACGTCTGGATGGCCAGCGCCGCGACTAACACGAACGGGTCGCGCCTCCAGCCGGCGCGCCAGCTGGCCATGGCTAGCCCAAGGGAGGCCCCTCGAGGGAGGCGCCCCTCGGCACGGAGCGCGGCAGCCCGCAGCCCTTTGAGCTTGCCATTCGGCACGCCCTGGATCGCGGTGCCCCACGCGCTTGGGCCAGCGCGGTGGACAGACGCGATCGGCGCCCCTGCCAGGCGAAGCTGCTCAAGGCGTGCGCCGCGAGCCTGAGCTTCTGCAAACCGCTGGCTCTGCGTGCCCACGCGCCGCTGGCGCCCGGCCGTCGCGTCGACCCCCAGGTCGCGATGGGAGCGCCCCATGCTGATGTCCCAGCGCTCGCAGCGCGCCTCCGCGAGAGCCCGTCTTGCGGTCCGCGATGGGCAGGCCCAGAGCCGCCGCGTCCTGCTTGACCGAATCGCAGCCCCTCACCAGCTGCTGCGTGACCGCACTCTCCCCACCGACCCCGTGGAGGGAGATATCGTCGATCACGTTCTTGATGGAGACGATGGGGGCGCAGGCCACCGCGCGCTTCAGCACCGCCAGGAACATGAGGCGGGCAAGCGACGCGGCGCATGAGCAACCAGCTATGACCCCGCCGTTCGCGACCAACTCACGACTGACAACTCCCTGGAGCACCACGCGCCGGCGCGCGCGGTAGCAGCAGCACAGGCACCGCAAGAGCCCGACGTCGAACTCGGCGTGCCGGGCGGCATGCAACAGCTCCGAGTGCGAGATGTGTTCGTAGTATGTGGCCATGTCCAAGAAGCCCGTGGCCGAGGCGAGGACGCGCTGGGAGGCGAACGCAACCAGCACGTTGTGCGCGCACGCGTTCTTATCGCACGCGGTGCGCGAGTCCACCCCCCCCAAAAAAAAACGGCAATCCAAGCGCCTCTCCCAGTCGGCGCACCAGCGGTGCCGGATCCGGCTCCAGACGCGCGCCGTCAGAGGCACGAGCCCAATGGGCCGGACGCCGCCCGTAGCCTTCTCCAGGAAAATGGTCATCACCAGCCACAGCGGCCAGACGTCGGGCCTCCGCTCGAACTCGTTGAGCACGTCTGCCAATCGCTGCAGCATCTCATCGGGTAGCTGCACAAGAAGCCTCGGGTGGAAAGAGTCCCACCCCAAAGCCGTGCCAGCAGGGAAGGTATCCGCTGCCTGGCGGAGATCGGCGACTGCGATCGGTGAAGCCCCACCTCGACGTCCCAATTCAATGGGTGCGCTTCCGCCTGCCGTGACGCTTTGGCACAGAGCGGCAGCCAGGTGCGCAGTTCCGCCTCCAGCGCCGCCTGCCCCACCAAGGGGGCCCTGCGCAGCCTGGACGCCTCCTCCGAAAGCGGACCGTCGGCGTCGGGTCCGAGAACTACCGGCTGCGGCTGCCTGGGGCCTCTGCTGACCCTGTGGGCGGCCCTGCCACTGCCAGCCACGGCCTCCTGCGCGAAGGCAGACCAGGCGCGCCGCGCCTCGGCAGCTGCTGCCTTGACTCGGCGGTCGCACTCACGACCGAGGGCCCCGGCGAGCCGCGGCGCCTGCTCAAGCAGCTCCGGGATCGAAATGCCCTGCAACGACTCCTCCCCGGCGGACTGCAAGGCCGCAGCAAGGGGGCCGGCCTGCTCTGCGAGGCGGCGTGCCAGCGTCAGGTCCTGGCGCTCCACGGCCTGGGTATGCTGATGCACGAGCCGTCGGAGGCTGAGCCACCGTTGCCCCTCTGGGGGGACCCTTCGGGCCAGCGTCTGCGCCCAGGCCACCTCCAAGGGGACCTTCTGGACTCGGCAGCCGAGATGACGCCCGCGGTAGGCCGCCTGCCGCGCCTCCGGGACCGAGTGCAACAAGTAACAAGCATAGGAAAGACTCGGCCCCTCGGAACCACTCCCCCGCCGCCTGCTGCAGGGAAGGCGGAGGCTGGCCGGGCCCCCAAGACCACTCAGGGGCCCAGCCGCTGGTGTCACCCCAGACGTAGGCCTCGTCTTTCTGCTGGATCTTGAAGCCCTTGATGGGGACCTTCTGCCACGCTAGCGCGCGACCCGCTAGACCGCGCAGCTGCACCTCCACCATGGCTTGAGGCCCGCGCGGCGTGTCCAGCCAGGTGCGCGCCGGCTGCACGAAGGGCGCCAGCACCTTGCTGGCAAGGAAGAAGTCGTATCGCTTGTCATTGATGGTGGGCTGGTCGGGCTCCAGGACCGCCGCCTCGAGGTCGGAGACCCAAGCAAACTCCGCGAAGTCGCCCGCGTCGACATTCCAGTCGCCACCGAGCAGGAACGGCCTCTGCTGGGCGGCCAGCGCCTCGCCCAGCTCCCCGAGGATGGCCAGATTGGGCTCCGCGAGGCCGACGCCGTCGACCAAGTAGACCGAGCCCACGATCAGGGAGAGACCGTCCAGCTCGACCTGCTGCAAGGCGATTCTGTGCGCGCGCGCCCTCGTCGAACCTCCATTCGACTGCACACGATCCCCAGCGAGCCGAAGCCAACGAGGCAACGCCCGCCGAAGTATCCAGCGGCCCGTCTCCCGTCGAAAGGGCCTCCACCGCATGCATGCCCAGGCGCGCGGCCCCTCAAGGGCCCCCTCGCGCTGCCGGTGTTCCTGGAACATCACGACGTCGGGAGCGGCGCCCTTGTCGTGCTGGAGCCACTCGAGTAGCTCCCGCTCAGAACTCCAAGTGTTCCCGTTGCATGTGACCACCCGCAGCGGCGGGGCCACGGCAGACGCGCCAGTTTTTCGAGCTGCGTCAAGCCGTGGCGACGAGGAGGGCCCTTCCATCCTCACCAGGGGTCGGGACACGCACGCCCTACCCACGCCCTGGCCCTTTCCCAGTGGTCCGGGAGCAGGCCCGCTTGGGCAAAGGCGCCCCCAACAGTTCCTCCATCTGCTTGCGCTTGGCGGCGTCGAGGTTGGACACGGCCTCGGCGAGGCCAGCGATGTCGTCGCCCATGAGGTCGTCGTCGACGTCGTCGTCGCCAGCGCCGTCGCCGCCAGCAACAGGAGGAGCAGCAGCGTCGGCAGCATCCGAAGCAGCCGCGGCATCGAGCTGCTCCCCGAGGAGGCCGACCAGGCCCCCTGCGGCTCCCAGGAGCTAGGGGGGAAGCTCCAGCCCTTCCAAGGCTTTGACGGCCTGCTGGGCGATGGCGAGCTTGGCGACGTCCGCGCCGGGGGCCAAGCTGCCTGGCGGCAGCCCCACTTGCTCGGCCACGCGCGCCGACTCCAGGTCAGCCTTGGCCGTCGCAAGGGCCAACCGGGCCTCCTCCTAGGCGCACACGGCCTCGGACAGCGCCGCGTTGGCCGCCTCCAGCGCCTCTTCAGCATCCCGGCGTTTCTGGAGGCTGCGCTCGAGCTTCTCGGAGGCCCGCTTTTCTTTCCACATCGCCCGCTGCACCAGCTGATGGTGCGTAGCCGGCTTCTTGGGCTCAGGAGGGGGCTTCTCCTCGGACAGGGCGGCGCGCTGCTCGTCAGAGAGCGCGATGCCGCGGGCCGCCAGTCCAGCGACCAGATCGGCCGCCGACACAGCATGGTCCTCACCGTCGTCCTTCCGCTTGGGCTCCGAGACCTTCGGCTTGGCAGCCAGCTTGGCCTTGGCGCCAGGCGCACGGGCCCCGGAGGCCGCCTGCAGCGCGCGCTGGCGAACCGCCACCGGCGCTGCCCCACCGCAGACACGGCAGGCGGTGCGGTTCGCCCAGTTGTGCGCCTCCCCGCACGGGCACCCCCACAGCGGGGAGCGAGGCCCGGGTAGCAGCTCGCCGACCGGCCGCTGCCAGCCTCCACCGCCGCCGCCGCCCCGCGGGCCGCCGCCGCCGCCGCCGCCCCCAATGTGCCATGGCGGGGTGGTCCCGCGCCCCAACACCGGGCTGCCGCCGCCAACGCGCCCCTTGGCGCTGCGAGCGGGCGCCGAGCCGCGGGCGCCGGCAGGCGGTGCCATCGCACAAGGGCGGCCCCAGATTGGCTCGCAAGCACGAGCCGCTCTGAAGTACGTGCTTGCAATGCTCCCTGGAGCACAGAACGGCTAGGAGGAGGAGGAGGGCGGAGGAGGAGGAGGGGAGGAGGGAGGAGGAGGAGGAGGAGGAGGAGGAGGAGGAGGAGGAGGGCGGAGGAGGAGGGGAAGATCGCCAGCCGATCGATCCGCCTGCGCAGGCAGACCGAACGGAGCACGTCGGGGAGTGTTCGGGGATCGAAGATATGATTTTCGAGCCTGCCTAGAGAGATTGTTGCTCATTCTCTCTGGTCACGGTCGTTACCCATGGGACGGGCGGGGGCCTGGGTAGTGGTACCGCTTGGGCGTGGTGGGGCACGTCGGGTCGAGGGTGCGCTGCGGTCACCACAGCATGTGGGGGTGGTGCCACCCCGCGCCCTGCGTAAGATCGCTACTGAACTCCAGGGGGGTGAGGGGGGTTTGACCCAGGTAGCGACCTTTACGCGCCAGAGGATGAAGAAACTATCTCTCTGCACTGTGCAAATGGGTGCGTGGACAATGTGAGAGCGCCCCCACCATTCAGATCGCGGTGGTGTGCGGCGTGGCGTGCTGCTCGACAGGCTGTGAAAGCGCCCAGTCAAATACGCCAGCGCACAAGCGCGCCAACAGCACTGAGCACACCAGCCGCCTCATGAGCACATTGCGCCTCGGTTGGAAAAAGAGTAGCCAAAACGGCATCCGGAAGCGCCAGGCGGCTCAAGAGCGCCCGATGACGACCCAAGATGCCCCCAAGAGGCCACAAAAAGGCCCCCAAAGAGGCCCCCAAGATCACCCCGCGAGGGCCAAAAATCGATCCGAGATGGTTTATTTTCAGGACGGCCGTCGATTCCGCAGATGGACACACGGCCCCAAGACGCTTCTATGACAACGCCCCGGGAAGAGAGGCATCCTGTGCTTGCAAGGGGTCGGCGGTACGGCGTAAGCCAATGAATCAACATACGGCGCATCGTTTTCGAAAACAAAGACCACTGGACACATCGTGGGTCTTGGAAATAACGAACGCAACAGCTAACGGCGGCAACAGTGAATCAGACAATTGCGTATATGTGTAACAGCGGCAGTGTGATAGCAATCGCATGGCCATAGCGGCAGCAATTGACGTCGCAGCAACCAGGGCAATGGAGTTCTGTGCATTTGCAGCAGCGGATGCGCGACTCGGTAATTACAGCACGAAGAAAACCGCATTAATCCACCATCGTGCCCAAATGCACGAGTTGTAGTGTCCTCCAGTTCTGTGCCAGATCCCTGAAGCTTGTCGTCAATGCTGCGGATTTCTTTTAGGGGCCAGACCCCTGGCTCTCAAGTATCTTGGGGCTTGTCAGGTGCCCCTTTGGCCCCGGGGATCTTGTCGCGTGACGTGTTCGGGCCCAAGAATACCCCAAAACAAAGCAAGGGGGCCCCAAGAGGCCCCCAAACGGTCCAGGAGAGCGCAAAATCGCCGAACGATCGCTCCAGTCGGCGGAAAGGGCACCCAAGACACCCCGAGAGGCCTTCAAGAGGACCCCAAGAGGCCCCAAGAGGTAAACATCGACACCATTCCATAGGAAAGCTTACATTTTGAACAAATACTGCGCTTCAGCCTTCACAGTGTCAAGACAGCCAAAGATGCCACCAAGATCGCCCCAAGAGGCCCCGAAGAGGGCCCAAAGACGGCCCAAGGGGCCCCAAAACGGCCCAAGAGGCGCCCAAAACGGCCCAAGAGAGCCCCAAGACACCCACAAAAAGGGCCCAAGAGGGGCAGCCCGGACCGACAATTCGAGCCTTCCGCCCCAAGATGCCCCCAGTAGGCCTTAAAGGCCCCGAGGAAACCCCAAGAGGCCCCCAAGAGGCTCCCGAGCCGCCCCAAGAAGCCTCAGAACAGCCCCCAACAGGGCTGAAAACGGCCTCCAAGAGGGCCCTGGGAGTCCCCCCACGACATCCCAACGTACATCCAAGAGATACATGAATATGACCAACAACCCAAGCACGGTGGCGGGATGGGCCGAAGGCCACTAAACCATTAGATCCGCCGCCCCCTGCGTTTGTCACAGGGGTGCCTGGCGTGCCAAACCCTATACGGTTTGGTGTTTGTTCTGTTTTGAAGAAGAACTCTCCCTGAAGTTTCGGCCCAGCGCGCTGGCAATCCGGAAAGTCGCAAAAACGACCTCAACGTGCACAACAAATCTCCAAGACGGCTCCAGATGGCTTCTAGGATGGCCCCATTGATCCAACATGGCCTTCAAGATGGCCCATGATGGTTCAAGTTGCCTCCATGTCCGCCGAAGAAGCCACCAAGACGGCCCAAGATGCCTCCAAGATGCCTCCAGGTTCGCCAAAGAAGCCTCCAAGATGGCTCCAGACGGACCAAGAGGCTCCCGAGACGCCCCCCAGACGTCCCCCAGGAGGGCCCGAAGAGGCCCAATTCATTACTTTGCCTTCGGTGTTTGAAAGATTTGGGCATGTGCTTCTTTGCGGCCTTCCGATGGCCCATGACGGCCCAAGAGGCCCCCGCCAACGGCCTCCAGGATGACCGCATGACGGCCCGAGACGCCTCCGGGACGGCCCCAAGAGCGCCCCAGGGCCTCCAAGACGCCCAAGATGGCCTCCAAGAGACGGCCGCGGAGCGCGCTCACGCCGAAGGCAACGCCGCGGGGCCGCGCCGCCCGGGGGCCGCGCGCCGCGGGGCCGCGCGCCGCGGGGCCGCGCCGCCAGGGGCAGCGCCGCGGGGCGAGCGCCGCGCCGCTGGAGAGTGCTCGGAAGTCGCTCGGAACACGCTCGGTGAATGTTCGAAAAATGTTCGTCGGGAGCGGCCAAGAGGGGGGTGTCCAAGAGGGGGGGGTGCAAATCATGACCGGCGGCATGTGCGCGGCCCAGCGGGGAGGCCAGGGACGTAATGAAACAAAAAGAGGCGCCATGAAATCTGGGGAAATATCATGGCCCCCGCCATGATATCCACCCCCCCCTAGTCATCACCCCCCTCTTTTCCGCCCCCGAGTTCGGGGGGCGCGCCGCGGCGGGCTTTCCCGGGCCACTCTTCTGGGCGCGCTGGACCTGCTCAGGCTCTGCTCGTGGGAAGCGTTCGAGTCACGTTCGGGATCTGCTCGGCGGGCTGCAGAGTGTTCGAAGCATGTTCGGACGATGCTCGGAATGCGCTCGGCGGGCTGAAGGTGATCGAATTCCGTTCAGCACATGTTCGTCGGAAATGTTCGGAACACATGCGGATCACGTCCGGAACATGTTCGGAAAACGCTCGGAGTCACCCCCCACGTGCCGCGCGGCCCCGCGGCGCGGCCCCAGGCCGCGCGGCCCCAGGCGGTTCGCGCCCCGCGGCGTGGCCCCGGGCGGCGCGGCCCCGCGGCGCTGGCTTCGGCGCGGAGCCCTACCGCGCGGGTCCGAAGCACGCGGTCTGGCGACTGCAGAGCTGGTGACGCGGGGCACTGAGGAAAGGGAAGAGGCGGGGGTGGGCTGCAGGCGGTGGCACACAACGGGCGAAGAAGCCCTGCGGCCGATCGGCGTCCCGCACCTGCGGGCGGCTAGTGGTCGCGCTCTTCCCCCTCCCACCTGCGCGTCGCAGATCCCACGTGCCCCGCGGGGCCCACGGGCCCGACTGGCGGCGCAGGTCCTGCGACCTGGCGCGCTTCGAGCGCGGAAATGCACGCGCTGCACACTGCTTCGTGCGCTTTCCGCGCGCGGAACTGCACAGGCTGGTAAACCGCCTGGCGCGCTTCGCGCGCCGACGTGCAAACGCTGCGCAAACCACTCGGCGCGCTTCGCGCTTCGCGCGCTGAAAGTTAAGCCAGGAAAAGGGAAACGAGAAGGAGGAGGAGGAGGAGGAGGAGGAGGAGGAGGAGGAGGAGGAGGAGGAGGAAGAGGAGGAGGAGGAGGAGGAGGAGGAGGAGGAAAGTACCCCCCTCCCGCCCCCCGCGCACGCCGCGCGGCGCCGCGACAGGAAAAACCGATGCCCCCCCCCCCATCAACCACTCGGCGCGCTTCGCGCTTCGCGCGCTGAAAGTTAAGCCAGGAAAAGGGAAACGAGGAGGACGAGGAGGAGGAGGAGGAGGAGGAGGAGGAGGAGGAGGAGGAGGAGGAGGGAGGAGGAGGAGGAGGAGGAGGAGGAGGTGGAGGAGGAGGAGGAAGTACCCCCCTCCCGCCCCCCGCGCACGCCGCGCGGCGCCGCGACAGGAAAACCGATGCCCCCCCCCCATCGGAACTTGTGGGACCTGTGGAACCTGTGGGACTGGGTCTACGATACCTGCGGGACCTCGGGCCCCTTAGGCCGCAAGCCCCACTGCGCGGTCCGAAATCCTGGGTCCTGCCGCGCGGGTCCGGGGACCGTGGTCTGGCGACTGCAAAGGCTCTTGGATAGCTTCCGAAATGCGCTGGACGGTAGACATGGAGGTCTAGTTGACGTAATCGCGCTCCGCTGAGGGGGGGGGGCGCTGCCCCATCACGGGGCCAGCCCTCCCACCGCCCATCCTCTCCGACCCTCGCGGAAGCGTGGAAGCGGCACGACGTGAATAGTGGTGGACGCATGTACATGTGTAATGCATGGTGTATGTGTATGTACACATGACGTTCGTTGCATGTTGGATGCACGATGTATGATGAACAGGTGAAACAAGAAACCAGCATGACACCATGCTTTCCCGTCTTTTCCTTGGAATCGACGATTGACTGTGTCTGTGTGTTTCTTTCCCTCCTGAACACGGAAGACACGCGGGGCGCTCTCCGGCTCGACCTGGCCCAAAAGCGCACTGCATCCCTGTTCCTCAACGGTCGGATTACGATCGAGTGTCTCAAGCTGGGTGTCTTCGGCAATCTACCCATACTCCGGACGTCGTAATTTCACAACGTCGACCCCCTCTGGACCCCTTCCCCCGGACCAGTTTTTCATCCTGAGTCGTTTTTTGCCAGTCCCGAGGCCCCGGAAGGGCCCCCTGAGGCCGAAAATGCAGAAAAACCTCCCGTCGTGATGCTGTCACAACGCGAGGGGGTCTGGGTAGGAAGCTGGAAGCACACGTGGCTGGATTCACACGCGCAGCATGCAGGGGCCAGCTGGTGGACACGCGTTCGGAGCGCTGGCGTGGTTCGTAGCCACGCGAGGGCCAGGCCCCCCCGAGAGACACGCCGCCACACGTGCATGCCAAGCCCTCGCCCAGGCTGGCCACGCCATGTGCACACATCTACGCAACTCACTGCAAGTAGGGGAACGAACAATGACACAAACATAAAAACTCGGAGGTCCGCGCGGATTTCTCGGATCGGCGCTGGGGCCCGCTGGCGGCGCCTCCGGCGCCGCCCCTGGCGCGCTCCGCGCGCCAGGGAGGGGGGTCGAGCGCCGATCCGAGAAATCCGCGCGGACCTCCGAGTTTGTATGCTTATGTCATTGTTTGTTACCCTGCACTAGTAAAAAGCACGGAGGACGAATTAGGGAACCGAGCTCTATACATCGACGCCTTTTGCGGCCCCGCACCGAGATATGCACAGGAGAACGGATCCTGGTGTATACGGGATCCTAATGTATACATTTTTCGCTGGTTCCTGGGAACCAAAAAAATGTAGACCACACCGCCCCGACGTCGCCCCCGACCCTCAACAAGTCCTGGGATTGTGGGGCCACGAACCGTGTGAGGGGTGTGCCGAAATGTGCGGCGCGGACGCTTGCGAATGTTGCCACTGGGGCCATGGGTGAAGGCGCCTGAAGGTTGTGCGAAATGTGCAGCGCGGACGCACGCGAACGTCACCACTGGGGCCTTCAGTGGAGCTGCCTCTGGGGCCACGAGGCGTGTGAGGGATATGTCGAAATGCGCGGCGCAGAAGCATGCGAACGTCGCCACTGGGGCCTTCGCTGGAGCTGCCTGTGGGGCCACGAACGGTGTGGGGAGTGTGCCGTGATGTTCGGCGCGAACGCATTGGAAACATGCCGCTGCGGCTGTCGGTAAAGATCCCTGTAGGGCCACGAACCGTGTGACGGATGTGCCGAGATGTGCGGCGCGGACGCATGAGTACGTCGCCACTGGGGCCTTAGGTGGAGCTTCCCGCAGGGCCACGAAGCGTGTAATTAAGGGGTGTGCCGAGATGTGCGGCGCGGACGCATTGGACAAGTGCCGGTGGAGCTCCGTGTGGGGCCACGACCCGCGGGAGGAGTGTGCCGAAATATGCGGCGCGGACGCACGGGAGCGTCGCCATTGGAGCCTTCGGTGGAGCTTCCCATGGGGCCGCGAACAGTATGAGGGGTGTGCTGAAACAGAGACATGCGGCGGAGGGCAGAGGCAGGGATGGGAGGAGGGAGGAAGGAGGAGGAGAGCGAGAGGGGGGGGGGGGCGGGGAAAACGCGGGGCGATGTCTCCTCAAAACGAAGACCCAAAAGCACAGGTTAGTTGGGAAAAACGATCTCAACTCTGATGAGGAGAAACGCGAGAAAGAGGTCCCCCGTGATCGACCTTGTCCACAGTCGTCACCACAAAGCCGAACGTGTGGTCCTTCGCGTACTTGGCCGCCTTTGCGAGGCGGGGGGTGGCACCACCCAGAAGGCCCCTCCAACACTCCCCGCTAGAGGGGCAGAGGGAGGATATGGAGGGAGGGAGAAGAGCCCGAGGAGAAGGACTTGGCAAAGAAGGCCCGACAGGTACGGATGCACTGCGTCATGAGAAGCCTGGAAACCCGACACCTCTGGAAATGCGAAAAAAACACCTTCGTTTGGAAGGTCTTCTTGATTCTACTCCTTTCCCAACAAGGGCGTTATTTCACTTGGGCCAGATTCGCGCCGGGCGCGCTCGCCCCTGTTCCCCACGGCCGGACACAAAATCACTACAGCAGTAGTTTGGGGATTCGGCTGCATGCAACCGGAAGCTTGCTAAACACAGCGACCGCCCTCCTGTCGGGCAGCAAGCGGACGGTCGACAGCCAACCGACTGCTAACAGTCCAAACAAGCAAGCTCAGCTGCTTTCCAGCGATGGTCTTGCACCTCTGAGAGCCCAGCCATACGCCTATCGCTCGACAAAGAAAAAACGGCAGGTTGCAATTCCCAGCGCCAAGTTTTGGAGCCTCGTCGGGAAACCTTGGTGGCCAGAGCGCCCCTCGGACCAGATCGGAAATTCTAAATTGCGGACCCATGTCAGCCACCTTGTAGAACTCGACATGCCGCAATATTGAAAAAAAAAAAAAAAAAAAAATGACACCTCCTTCTCTCTTTCTCTCTCTCTCTCTCTCTCTGGCAACGTCTGGCGAGATGCCCGGCGTGCCGGCAAATCCTACGAGCGACTTCGCAATCGAGGTCGACGATGCCCGATTCATTGCTCTGTTTGCGGAACATGTTGCGTCGCCGCCGAACATAACCTTTCATCGAGGTCCTCTCACATTCGGGGGAGGCAAAGAAAAAAACAAACAACAAAATGCCTCACACAGACGACGCCCATGTCCCAGTGCCCACTGAAACGCGGCGGGTGATATCACAGGGAGGTTGAAAAAAACAAGGAATTCTAAAAACAAGGAATTCAAATTTCTGGGTTGCCGCGTAGAGATCGCAGCCCCGAAGCGAAGCAGAGAGCAAAACTAGGAATTTGAAAAACAAAAAACGGACCAGCGACGCGGCACGAAACAAAACAAGGGACGCCATGGAACAGCAAGGGGAAGATCTCGGGGAAGATCTGGCGGGAGATCTGGGAGGTGTCCAATGGAAGATTTGGCGCGGTTGCATTGCGATACATCTGGAGGAATATTTGGCAGAAGATCTGGGGAAAATATGAGGGAATTTCTCGGATATATTGTATTATATATGGCGGGAGATCTGGGAGTCGCCGGCCCAACGGGCGTGCTAAAATCTCCGGCAACTGGTTAACAAAATTCTAGTTCGCGCGCGAGGGGCGGCCCCTGGTTTTTGCTTCGTCCGTGCGCTAAGTCTTTCAATAATCGCACCTCACAACGAGCCAGAGGACCGACCAGCAAGGCAACCGAACTTCACATATCTGAGATGTGTCAAGCTCGGTCCTACGACCGAAAGCACGAACACATGCCTTAGCACTGGGCAGTGCCCTCCGCGAAAGGATGACTTGACTGCCAAACACACTTGGACATGCACCTGTCGAGCTGTAATGCAGAATGCACTCCAGAACCGATCTGGCTTGCGCCCTGAGGTGTTCCTAAATCCGTCTTTTGCCACGCCTCACAACCAGCCCAAGGGCCGAAAAAGCACGGCATTCAAGTATATACTACGTGGCATATGGCTTGCGACCAAAAACAACACATGCCATGCCTCTTGACACGGGCCCGACCAAAACAAAAAGCAATTCAATGCAAAACGCCGTCGTTGCGTTTTAACTGCCAACGTTCTTCATCCGCCCCCCAATCTTCGGGCCTCTTTTTGGTCCTTCTTCGCGCTTCCAGGAGCCCTCTACACCCTTCAACGACCCCCCCGCTCATCTTCCGAGATTCTCTCCACTGCCCTGCCCTCCCCATCCACGATCCAAAAGGGTGGAGCGGCGGTGTCTGCCCCCCCAGGGGCGTTCAATGAAATATGGCGGGAAGTCTGGAGGAAGATCTGGAGGGACATCTGAAGGAAGATCTGGTAGAAGAACTGGGCGAAAATCTGGGGAATGTCCTGAGCGGAATTTGGCGGTGTAGTGCCTCGTACATATGCAGCAAAACGTGCGGGAAGATCTCGGGAAGATCTGAGGGAGAAGATATGGGGAAACACCTGGGGGGAGATCTGGGTGAAGATCTGGAGGACGATCTGGAGGAAAATCTTGGGAAGAATCTGAATCAATATTTGAGTGAATCCGCCGGCCCCCTTGCGGGGCCATCAGGCTGCGAGGCTTAGGCTTGCTGCTCCCTGCACCAGTTCCAGTTTCCAGTTTCCATTGCCACAGTATTGCGTTCTGCTTCCTACTGTAAATTGTTACTGTCCGCGCGAGGGGGGAAGCCGAAAACCGCCATGGTTAAACAATTCCTGGGGGGGTAAAAAAATAACACCCCTCACGCAGATCGGCGGGGTCAGGGTCAAAAAACACAAGGGATTTGCAACATTTCTGAAATTCGGTGGCACCCCTCACAGGATCGGCGGGGTCAGGGTCCAAAAACACTGGAGATTTGCTACATTTCTGAAATTCGGTGGCACCCCTCACGCAGATCGGCGGGGTCAGGGTCCAAAAACACATTTCTGAAGTTCGGTGGCACCCCTCACGCAGATCGGCGGGGTCAGCGTCCAAAAACACATGGGATTTGCAACATTTCTGAAGTTCGGTGGCACCCCTCACGCAGATCGGCGGGGTCAGGGTCCAAAAACACAAGGGATTTGCAACATTTCTGAAGTTCGGTGGCACCTCTCATGCAGATCGGCTGGGTCAGGGTCCAAACACACGAGGGATTTGCCGCATTTCTAAAATTCGGTGGCACCCCTCATGCAAATCGGCGGGGTCAGGGTCCAACAACATGAAGGACTTGCCCCATGTTTTAAATTCGGTGGCACCCCTCACGCAGATCGGCGGGGTCAGGGTCCAAAAACACAAAGGATTTGCCACATTTCTGAAATGTCCTGGCACCCCTCACGCAGATCGGCGGGGTCAGGGTCCAAAAACACTTGGAATGTGCCACATTTCTGAAATTCGATGGCACCCCTCACGCAGATCGGCCGGGTCAGGGTCCAAAAACACATGGGATTTGCAACATTTCTGACATTCGGTGACACCCCTCACGCAGATCGGCGGGGTCAGGGTCCAAAAACACAAGGGACTTGCTTTCTGAAATTCGGTGGCACCCCTCACGCAGATCGGCGGGGTCAGGGTCCAAAAACACATGGGATTTGAAACATTTCTGAAATTCGGTGGCACCCCTCAAGCAGATCCATAGGGAGGGTCAGGGTCGAAAAACAAATAGGTCCCGACACTGCTTCACGGCAAAGCCAAAGCCCCATGACTTCGCTCTTTCATGGCCCATTCTCCGAGAGAGGGGGCCGGCGGCAGGGGGCGAAGCCCTTACGGATATCTAGGGGCAATATCGGAAAATCTCTGCGGGACAACATCGGGAAAGATCATAGGAAAGATCTGGGTGACGATTTGGAGGAAAATCTGAGGGAAGATCTGGCGGAGGATCATGGGAAACATCCAGGGAGAGATTTGGGGGAAGATCTGGAACAAATCTGGGGGGAATCTGGGGGAAGATCTGGGGGAAGAGCTGGAGGAACATCTGGAGGAAGATCTGGGGGGAGATCTGGAGGAAGAGGGAAAGAGCTGGAGGAAGATCTGGGTGAAGATCCAGGGGGAGATCTGGGGGAAGATCTGGGGAAAGATCTGGAAGAAGACGTGGGGGAGGATCTGGAGAAAAAACTGGGAGAGATCTGGGGGGAGATCTGGGGGAAGCTCTAGAGGAAGATCTCGGGGAATATCGGGGGAAAAATTCAGGGCAAGATCTGGGGGAAGATCTAGGGAAAGATTTGGTGGAAGATCTGGGGAAAGATCTGGAGGAACAACTGGGGAAGATCTGGGGGGAGATCTGGGGGAAGATCTGGAGGAAAATCTCGGGGAAGATCGGTGGAAAGATTCAGGGGAAAATCTGGGGGAAGATCTGGGGGGAGATCTGGGGGAAGATCTGGGGGGAGATCTGGGGGAAGATTTGGGGAAAGATCTGGAGGAAAAGCTGGGGGAAGATCTGGGGGAAGATCTGGGGGGAAGATCTGGGGGTAGATTTGGGGGAAGATCTGGGGGAAGATCTGGAGGAAGATCCGGGGAAAGATCTGGGGGAAGATCTGGAGGAAGATCTGGTGGGAGATCTGCGCGGCGATCTGGAAGAAGATCTGGGGGAAGATCTGGGGGGGAGATCTGGGGGAAAATCAGGGCGAAGATCTGGGGGGACAATCTGGAGGAACATCTGGGGGGAGATAATCGTGACCATTTTTTAAACTAGGTTTTCGAGCATCACTCGCGCGATGACGGCAAGGCATGAAACAAAACAAGGAATTGTACAAAAATATGATTTTAGAATAGGCCCGCGAGACTGAGCCCGGGCATGCCGTTCTAGTTGTTTTGAACTCCCTGTAAACTGACTCTGTCAGGTAGATGGCTAACACGACAAAATATTATGACCTTCTGCAATGCCAAAGCGTATGGAATACGTCTTCATCGAGCGCAACGCATCTTATTCCTAAATGTGTTGACGTGAACACCTGAACGTCGAAGATGATTGACTGCACGGCGTGAGCGGGATCCTGGGATATCCATCTCGTCCTGCCCAACTGCAACCTCGCTCCATACTCGGCCAATGCTTTGGATAGCCTACATGAGTCACGCGCATATGCACTTGTGCGCGTGCCAATCTGAATATGTCGACACTTTACACTACTGACGGTGCGAGGAGGGGGAGCAGAAGGAGGGGAGAAGGAGGGAAGGGGAGAAAGAAGCTGGAGGGGGAAGGGATGGACAGAGCAAGAAGGGAGGAGGGATTTTGAACGCGGCCAGCATTCCACCTCTGCAAGACGCCCCGAGAGGCCTCCAGGAGCACTCCCAA